TATGAATTTTTTCTTTTTTTTGATATGGTGGGTGGTGGGCCGACGGGTTTGGGGGCCTATAACTGAATTTCCAATTTTGATATTTTTTTTTCTTTTCTTTTTTTAATTAAAGGGTAATTTAGTATTTTAGAGGTGCGGTACGTAATAAAACGGGTGCGGTATTTAGCAATTCAGAATAAACAAAAGATAACATTAAAGCTAATAAAACGGGTGCGGTATTTAGCAATTCAGAATAAACAAAAGATAACATTAAAGCTGCATCAGTTTGGAAGAATCAATGACGAGAACAACGACACTGTTCTTGTAATGATTTTCAAGCTAAATGACAGTATTAACGAAAAACAACATTATAGCTCCCGTATTGTACTGGAGACATCGTAAGAACAACAAAGAACAACCTTAAAATGTCAGTACTAACAAAGAACAACATTAAAGCTCCTGTGTTATACTGGACCTCGAAACTTATCGTCTGGAAACAAATTAATGCATGACGTCAAATACATACTATAACATAGTAACACATCCACATACGTCCGAGGTTACATGTACCTACGAATGTCGAATACAATCCATGTCAAGCAACTACACATAGAAAGAAATGTAGCACCAATGCTAGATTTACCAACGACATTGCTACAGTCATCCAAGTTAAGAGTACAAACAAAAGAACAAAAGGTGTCTCGAAATCACTACAATTAACAGAAGACCTTAAAATACATATAACAACTCAACAACTAATTGCTGCTGGAGAAGGGTGATGTGGCGGCGCCTGATTCACTTTACCTATCTCCATCCCATCCTCTTTCACATCACTTTCTTTCCCCAAATCAGATTTGGTATCGTTCAACTGGGCCCCACTTTCCTTTCCAGCGGACGACTCTGAAATAGTGCGCTTTTCACCTCCATCAACAGCTTCCCCATAAGTGCCCACAGGTTTTGTTTCATCACTACAGATTTTGTTTCCAGACAACTGTTCCTCTACATTTTTTTCCTTCACATCTGAAGGATTTCCATTTCCATTACCATCAATTCTTCCGGGCTGCTCATTATTCTCCTCCTTCTCAGGTAACTGTTTGTCTTCAATTTTTCCCTCCACATTTGGAGCATTTTCAGTGCCATCGCCTTTTTCAATTTTCTCATCATTTGTCTCATCAATCCCGACCTTGGTTTTCTGTTCTTCGTCCTTCTTCTCATCATTTGTGCCTGCAGATTTTGTTTCATCACTACTGATTTTGCCAGCCTCAGACTGCATTTTCTCTACAGTTCCAGCCACCTGTTCCTCTACAATTTTTTCCTTCGTGTCTGAAGGATTTCCATTACCATCAATTACTTCACGCTGCTCATTATTCTCGTCCTTCTCAGGTAACTGTTTGTCTTCAACCTTTCCCTCCACATTTGGAGCATTTTCAGTGCCATCCCCTTTTTCAGTTTTCTCATCAATTGTCTCATCACTCCCGACCTCGATTTTCTGTTCTTCGTCCTTTTTCTCATCTTTTGTCTCATCACTCCCTTTCCCACCATTTTCTTTAAAAATGCTTTCACCCCCGACCTCGGTTTTCAGTTCTTCATCCTTCTTCTCATCAGTAGCATCATGCATTTCGACTTCTTTCGTGCCCTCGGTTTTCTCTTTGTCTTTCTTGGTGGCCAATGATTTTCTAGCTCGTTTTTTGGGCGGCTCACTCTCTTTAGATGGGGGTGTTGACTTGACTTTCTCGCTGATCCTAGCTGATCTCCTTGGAGTTTCGCCTGTGCCCCAATCGAACTCGGAAAGCGGAGGATTTCCAGCATGGGATTTTAGGTATTGCTCGAGCTGCCTACGGTTGCTAATGTGCTCCCCAGTTGGAGCAATGAATAGTATCTCGTTTTTCTTGGGCGTACCTCCTTTTTTCGGCAAATACTGCAAGGAATATTAGAAATTTGGTCAGCCAAAAGTATAGGTAGCAGAACCTGTTAATTGTCACCTGATGCACAGCCTAAAATTGTGATTAATAAAGATTTTTACGAAAATAAACAAGATGCGGGCAACAACCTAATAAAAATCTACCCAAATAGGACAACAAAATCCATGGTTTTTGCCCAACAAGTTTCAGCAGAGTTCGACAAAAAATATAGTAGTAAATTCACTCCCGTCAGCTTACAGTAATTGTAGTTTTTGTCTCTGAAGTTTGAAGAACAGATGTTAGCGGCAAATACTTTGGCTTAAACGAGTAAATTACATATCTTCTAGTATGTTCTCGTGGCTGCAACCAATTCTATGAATAGGTTCAATTTGTTCATATTAATGCCACAAATGGTGCAGGCCTTTTTCCCTTACACAATGGTTCACTTAAAGATTATTAGTGCAGTCAAAATAATTAGCATCGTAAATAACATGAAACTTGACAGGGTTTCAGCATACATCTTCCTGCAGGTGGAAAGGAGGTGATTCACTAAAACTAGCATCTCCAAATAGCTATTATCCAATCAATGAATGCATCGAATAATTTACACCATATCATCAAATGGATATAAAACTTTAAAAAGATGTTCCGTGAAAATTTATCAAACAATTATTTTTTAAGATTTTATAAGCTCTCGACCAAGTTACCAAATATTTGAAAATGTCAATAATTATTCCAAAAACAATCTACGAGGTTTACACATTCAAAGAAAGAGGTGTGGGACATACGAAAGAAACAAACTTTAGAGGGCCATACTAACTTCTGCCTAAATGAGGTTTTATCTCGACGTCAATTGGTGATATGGGACAACTCACAAGTGGACATTTCAACACATCCTGACCCAAAATAGATGATACTTATATGTATGTTTAAAGAATCGAGAAGCAATAACAATAAATGCTTTTTAAAATAATAACAATAATAATAATAAACCACTATCGAAGACACCTACCTTAAATGCGAAATTAATGAGAATCCTAATTTAATCAGTCTCCATTACTATAAAAAGTAAGTAACATTATTTCATAATATTCCAACAACTGTAGCACGGTCAATAGTGTAACAGCTGTGCTAATTCAAGTATTTGTGTGAAGGACAGAAATTCGTACTTGGAATTATGAATTGAGCCAACTGAAAGAGAGAATAAACAGCAGCAACCAGAGCACAGAACACGAGAAGGTTCTAATAAATACACACAAAGATTTAAGTACAATAACCACATAACTCAAACCCTAGCAAACAGCAATTTAGCTTTTTCCCCAAAATAAAACAACTTCAGCTACAAAAATGTAAAAACTGCCATCACGAAAACCTGGAGAAGACCAAAAACAGCACTGCCAAGAAAAAAGTAAAGCTCAAAACAGAACAAAACGTAAGTACCAATTTTTTCCAGGAAGCAGGAGCTGGGAGCTCCACCGAAACGACATCGTTCCCAAGTAAACGCTGAGCATCCGCCATTTTTCTCTTACCTACAAAACCCAAAACCAGAAAAATATATCTGAGCAAAACACCACTAAACCTGATTTACAAACAGTCCAAACACACAATTTGCTCTACGAAATTTTACCTTTTAATTTTTTCTCTCTCTGGAAAAGAATATGCTTCAATAACTTAACCGCCACGACGCCTAGAGGATAAATGAATAAAAACCAATTCCATCAAGGAGCACGAGCGGCGACACGTGGCGCCAACGCGAGTCGTGGATTTAACCGTTAGAGACAGTTTTCCAATTGCCTCGTTTCAAAGGGAAAGTTCTCGAGAATGCTAATGGACACGTGGCGACCTGTGGACGGGGGCTTGAGGATTTAGTGGTGATCCCTGCTTTACTTTAAATTTATCTCTTCAACAACAGAGTGGTTTGACAGCACACGCGCTAGGTTAGAGCGTGCACGGAACGGGTTAAAGGGGAAGCGTCATATGCGTAGTGTAGGATCACGCGCAAGGTGCATGAGCGAGGGGCACATTGGTCAACCATGCGGATAACGTTCCCAAACAAGTTGTATTAACTGGATTGAAGAGAGGGGTTCGAGGTCCGGATGATTATGAGGCACCATTTTAGATGGTGATAGTGAATTGATATTCAGAGCCCCTTTTAGATGATTTTACTCCTCTCATAATTTCAGAATTTTTTTTAAAAAAAAATCACTCTCCCAAACTCTCTCTTGCCGTCACCTCTTCGCTTCCCAAAAAAATCTAAAAAAATAGAAATCACGACCGAGGCAAAAGTTTTATAATTCGTCCGATGTGATATGTAAATAATTTTTAAAATGAAAAATCTTTATTAGGGCTGAAGTAAAAGATGTCATTTCAAATGATGTTATTATACATATATGCATTCAACTTTTAGTGACAATTTACAACCAATTCAAGCAGGACGAGGTTGTTTATATACTGCGAGTGTTCACACTAGAGGCGGTACCGTAATTAACCAACTCTTTAAGTGTGAACGCAACAAACCAAGTAATTACGGTACCGCCCCTAGTGTGAACACTCGCAGTATATAAACAACCTCGTCCTGCTTGAATGTTTCAATATCGGTACCGTAATTAACCAACTCTTTAAGTGTGAACGCAACAAACCAAGTAATTACGGTACCGCCCCTAGTGTGAACACTCGCAGTATATAAACAACCTCGTCCTGCTTGAATGTTTCAATATATGATAAAGATATAAATACAAATTATTTTTACGTCAAATAAACTTGAATGGTACAACATATTCAACTAAAAAAATATTGTCAAAGTAAACAAGTTTCTAAATAAAAAAAATACATATTAGATATAATCATTCCATCAACTTCACAATCAACTAATTTGTTTCAATGGTTCTCAATACACACAAACAAAATACAAAATGTCAAAAGTTTTGGAACCAAATCAAACATTATGTTATATCGAGTAAACCCCATGTAAATTACTTGGTTCTCTTGGTTCAAAAAATATATCAAAAGAGCCGAGACCAACCAAAAGTAAAAATATATTGAAGTATCAAACTAACATCAACATTGCTTATTCTCATTCTCGTGATAAATGAATTGAGCATCCTTCTCCTCCTCTTCATCAACGTAAATCTCAACCTTAGCCTTTAGTCGTGCAAGCGCCTTTGATATTTTCTCAAACTTAAAGAGAAAGAAAATCTGTAAAACAAAGATATTAATTACAACATTGCCAGGGCCGTCTCCAGAAATTTGGAGGCCCTAGACAAGTTTTTCCTTTTCGAATTTCCCGATTTGAACTTGCGTGGTAATTAGGCTATTTGCAGATAGAATCATAGAAGAAAAAAACCTAATTAAAAAAGACTATTAAATAAATAAATAAATAATTGAAAAAAAAAATCTTGTTTTTCTAAACTTTGGAATTGATAAATTACTTATGGGTTACAAAGATCTTGAATAATTTACATTCAATTAGTCATTAGAACAACAAGGAGAAGAAAATAAAACTCATATACTGCAAAGAATGTTTATTCTCACACAATTGTTCTAACCGAACATCATAAGAAAATAAATGAAATATTTAGGGCCTCAAATTTTCACACAAAGTATATATTTTGTCTTTAACTCATTCATTAATTAGCTCCTTCATTTGTATAATGAACCAAACTCATCACAAATACATAGTATTGAAAAATAAATGGGGCCCCAAATATAAGGGGAGGCCCTAGGCTGCCTCCCCAAGGAGCTGGCCTTGCTCGTTGCCATCCGTCGAGAGAGCAGTCGCGCCCTCTGTTCGAGTCGCGGCCCTTCCTCGCTGCAATTTCCAAATGTTAGAAACTGAGTATAAAATACACGAGAATCCTATGAACTGATATGTATTTTTTAGTTCTTACAAGTAATCTAAAAAATAGAAAATTACAATTGAACTGAAAATTAAATTACAACTGAAAATTAAATTAAAACTTAAAAATAAAAAGGAAAGATTATAGCCGAGGCGAGTAAAACTCTTTCCGCAAGAAGAATACGCCCCGTGTGGCAGCTAACGGTTCAGGCGTAACTTCCCCAAAGATACAACGGCAAACGTCTCTAAATTTGTAGCACACCAGATTTACGAACTCCGGCGAACTGAAACGGAGTCGAGAATTGAGCACTTAAAAATATGAATAAAAATATCTCTCTTTTGTTATTTTGATAACAAATAAATATTTTTATATTTTTCTATTCTTTCTTTATTTCTCTTTATCTTTCTCTTCTTTTCTTATGTGTTTTCCTCCTTCTGCCGAGCCCTCTATTTATAGTGATAAATTGATCAAGTTGGCCAAATATCCAACTGTTCCACGCAGTTTCCTCCTCACAGATTGCAATTATTAATTATTATTACAATTATTAAAGTGATTGCAGAATTGGTTGGATGACCAATTTAATAACACTCAAATCACATGGAGGTTGAGGAATTTGTTGTTCTAACGTGGTAGTGGTTTTGGTTTGGTTGTCCAAATCAATTAATTATACATAGTGGTTTTGGTTTGGTTGTCCAAAACAATTAATAATACACTCACAATTTTATAACAATCCCCTACATGAGTGTAAATTAAATATAAATACCAGTGTGCTCAATTCTCGCAAAACTCTATTGCAACAGAAAAGGTAGCTTTTGACTTTGAACCTTTCTTAGTAAATTTCATCTGATGCACTAGCGGCCTAGTTGACATAATGCCTTGAACTATTCCTCCATAATGTACACCTAGACAATGACATTTACACAATAGAGTCTTAACTTCATTTCGTTCTATCGTTGTGTCCGTTTTGGCCATGGACAATACAATGGATTCATAAGTGTTTACATTTGAAGCGGCCCACACTTCACACTTATATAGGTGACCTCCCTATCAAGAGTATCATGTATTACTCCACCTTTACAAGGTTAGGGATTCATTAAAAGTCCACATGACTTACCCTTACCACAATCAACAGGTCATCAGCACTTGGAGTGCTCTAGGGAATAGCTTTGGACATTCATATGTTCCAAGTGCTCAACTGAATTTTCATAGCTTAGTTTTCCCTTTGAACCATGTTTGTGGGATCTCCATTCAGCATGGTAAGGTTACCACTATGGTCATTCTTTATATTGTGGATTTTTAAGCCCATTCCCTCTAGAAAAACTACCAATTGATCTCTATTCAACCCTTTCGTCAAAGGATCAACCAAATTTTCCTTAGACTTCACATAGTCAATGGAAATAACACCATTTGTGATCAATTGTTGTACGGTATTATGTCTACGACGAATATGTCTAGACTTACCGTTATACAAGTTGCTTTGCGCCCTACCTATAGCAGCTTGGCTATCACAGTGAATCATCACAGGCGGCAAAGTCTTATCCCAACATGGAATATCGGATAAAAAATTTCTAAGCCACTCGGCTTCTTTACCAGTTTTATCTAAAGCTATGAACTCTGATTCCATCGTTGACCGAGCTATACACGTTTGTTTTGTGGATTTCCACGAAATTGCACCTCCTCCAATACAGAAAACATATCCGCTAGTGGAGCGAGAATCTCTCGAATCTGATATCCAGCTTGCATCACAGTACCCTTCAAGTACGGCTGGGTATCTCGAGTATTTTAACCCGTATTCAAGGGTGTACCTCAAGTACTTAAATACCCTTCTCAAAGCATTCCAGTGCTCATGACTGGGATTGCTCGTAAATCTGCTCAACTTATTCACCGGATAGGCCAAGTCTGGTCGTGTACAATTCGTTAGGTACATCAGACTCCCTATTATCCGAGAATATTCCAACTGAGCCACTGGTTGACCTTTATTGGCTACCAGAGCTATACTAAGATCAAGGGGTGTCTTACACCTAGACTGTGCACCGTCATAGGTATCAAATTTCTTGAGCACTTTCTCTACATAATGAGATTGTGACAAGACAATTCCATCTTAGGTTCTGATAATCCTTATTCCAAGAATAATATCAGCCAAACTCATATCTTTCATGTCGAAATTTCTTTTCAGCATTTTTTTCGTATCCATGATCACTTCATTGCTACTCCCCATGATCAACATATCGTCTACATATAGACATACAATCACAAATGTAGTTGTTGTATTCTTGACATAAACACATTTGTCACATTCGTTGATTTTGAAACCATTTGACAACATCACATCATCAAATTTCAAATGCCATTGTTTCGGAGCTTGTTTCAGTCCGTACAAAGATTTGATCTATCTACACACATTTCTTTCTTGTCCAGGTGCAACAAACCCTTCAGGTTGTTCCATGTATATTTCTTCTTCCAATTCACCATTCAAAAATGCCGTCTTGACATCCATTTGGTGAATCTCAAAATTGTGCAACGTAGCAATCGAGAGAAGCACCCTTATCGACGCTAAACGCGTAACTGGTGAATAGGTATCAAAGAAATCATACCCTTCCTTTTGTTTAAAGACTTTGACCACCAATCGTGCTTTAAACTTATCAATCGATCCATCAGCTTTATATTTCTTCTTTAGGATCCACTTGCATCCTAAAGGTTTACAACCATCAGGGAGATCAACCAACTCCCAAGTATGATTTTGCATAATGGACTCGATTTCGCTATTTACAGCTTCTTCCCAGAGTGGTCCATCTGGGCTGGAAAGAGCTTCCTTAAGGGAACTCGGTTCATCGTCCAACATGTACGTAATAAAATCAGGTCCAAATGTTTTCGCCGTTTTTAACCTTTTACTACGTCTCAGTTCTTCATCAGTACCCTCTGGTACAGAACCACTAGCAGTTTCATACGTTCGTTTATTAGAACTAGATTCTGCTCTTTCCTTTAGAGGAAAAATATTCTCAAAGAATATAGCATTCCTCGACTCAATCGTGGTACCAACAGATACCTCTGGATTTTCTGATTTATGAACCAGAAATTTGTATGCTGTACTATTGTACGCATATCCAATAAATACACAATTGACCGTCTTTGGTCCGACTCTCATTTGTTTTGGTTCAGGTACTGAAACCTTAGCCAAACACCCCCACACTTTCAGGTATTTATAAGACGGCTTACGATTTTTCCACATTTCGTAAAGAATCTCATTTTTTCCTTTAGGTGGTATTTTATTCAGGATATGATTTGTTGTTAAAACAGCTTCCCCCCACATGTTCTGTGGTAATCTTGAATTTATCAACATGGCATTCATCATTTCTTTTAAAGTACGGTTCTTGCGTTCAGCAACACCGTTCAACTGTGGAGAATAAGGGGCTGTCGTTTGATGAATTATGCCATAGTCAGAACATATTTGTTCAAAAGGAGATACATACTCCCCACCCCTATCACTTCGGATTATTTTAATCCTTTTGCCGAGTTGATTTTCAACTTCGGTCTTATAGATTTTAAATGTTTCCACAGCCTCGTCTTTGCTTCTTAATAAATATAAGTAGCAAAACCTTGTGCAATCATCGATAAAAGTAATAAAATACTTTTTACTCGTTCTTGTTTGCACACTTTTCATATCACATACATCAGTATGGATTAAGCCTAATGGTTCAGTACTCCTTTCCACTGAGTGAAAAGGCAAATTAGTCATTTTTGCTTCAATACAAATCTCACATTTCTTATGTGATTCAATTTTAGAATTAGGAATTAATTCTAAATTCATCAACCGTTTAATTGCATTTAGATTTACATGTCCCAATCTAATATGCCATAAATCCGAGTACTCAACGGTATAAACAAAAATAGGCTTTTCATTATCATTTAAAACGGTTACACGGCTCACGGCCATTACATTCATTTTGAACATACCCTTGTCGAGATAGCCACGACCAAGGATAGTTCCAAACTTGCTAAGAACAAATTTCTTAGCATCAAATACGAGCCTAAATCCATGCTCAACAAGAAGAGCTCCGGAGACCAAATTCTTGCGGATGTCCGGGACATGCAGAACATCCTTAAGCTTCAACTCCTTTCCAGAATTCAGCTTCAGCACCACAGTGCCCACTCCAGCCACATCAGCCGTGGCGGAGTTTGCCATGTAAAGTTTCCGACTCTTAGCAGGAGTGTATTCAGAGAACACCTCCTTATCGGAACACACATGACGAGTGACACCAGTATCGATGTACCACTCCATTGGGTTATCCACCATATTGGCTTCAAACACCACAGCTGACATATCAAAGTCGGTTAGATCACCCGACACAGAGCCGTGTTCAGCCACAAGGGCACTCGGTTTAGCTTTCTTTGGCCCAGACGTCTTTGGCCTCTTGCAGTCTTTAGCCATATGGTTCGGCTTTCCATAATTATAACAAGTTCCGATAAACTTCCAAACCTTGGCAGGCTGCTTCCCTTTGTCTAGGGACTTCCTCTTGCTCGAGTGGCCTTGCTCCAGCAAGTTAGCACGAGCCTCTATCATTGGAGACTTCACCGATGAATTACGATTGTTCTCCTCAATACGAAGACGAACAACTAGATCTTCAAGACTCATCTCCTTCCTCTTATGTTTGAGGTAGTTCTTGAAGTCTTTCCAACCCGGCGGCAGCTTTTCAATCACAGCCGCAACTTGGAATGACTCGCTTAGAGACATTCCTTCAGCATGGATATCGTGCAAGATAAGTTGAAACTCTTGCACTTGGGACACGACGGTCTTAGAGTCGACTATCTTGAAGTCAAGAAACTTGCCGACGACGAATTTTTTCGCCCCGGCATCCTCAGTCTTGTACTTCTTCTCCAAAGCAGCCCAAAGCTCTTTGGCAGAACCAACCGAGCTGTACACATTGTACAACTCATTACTAAGTCCGTTTAGGACATAGTTACGGAAAAGGTAATCACCTTGCCCCCAAGCTTCATACGCAGTGCGTAGTTCAACATTTGTCTCATTTTCATCAATAACCGGGGGGGTCGTCCTTCAGGTATTTCACCAAACCCAAAGTGGTCTGGTAAAAATGCATCTTTTGTTGCCACCTTTTAAAATCAAGCCCATTGAATTTTTCGGCTTCGCAGCAGTAGGGACATGGACAACAGGTACATGATTGATCGGATGCTGAGTGTTGGAACCATTTCTGGTGGAAGCCATCAGTCCAGTAGGTTGAGATATTCTTCTTGCGATTGTTATTAACTAAGTATAAAATACACGGGAATCCTATGAACTGATATGTATTTTCAGTTCTTACAAATAATCTAAAAAATAGAAAATTACAATTGAACTGAAAATTAAATTAAAACTTAAAAACAAAAAGGAAAGATTATAGCCGAGGCGAGTAAAACTCTTTCCGCAAGAAAAATACGCCCCGTGTGGCAGCTAACGGTTCAGGCGTAACTTCCCAAAGATACAACGAAAAACGTCTCTAAATCTGTAGCACACCAGATTTACGAGCTCCGGCGAACTGAAACGGAGTCGAGAATTGAGCACTTAAAAATATGAATAAAAATATCTCTCTTTTGTTATTTTGATAACAAATAAATATCTTTATATTTTTCTATTCTTTCTTTCTCTCTATCTTTCTCTTCTTTTCTTCTGTGTTTTCCTCCTTCTGCCGAGCCCTCTATTTATAGTGATAAATTGATCAAGTTGGCCAAATATCCAACTGTTCCACGCAGTTTCCTCCTCACAGATTGCAATTATTAATTTTTATTACAATTATTAAAGTGATTGCAGAATTGATTGGATGACCAATTTAATAACACTCAAATCACATGGAGGTTGAGGAATTTGTTGTCCTAACGTGGTAGTGGTTTTGGTTTGGTTGTCCAAATCATTAATTATACATAGTGGTTTTGGTTTGGTTGTCCAAAACAATTAATAATACACTCACAATTTTTATAACACCAAATTCCGCCGAACCACCATTATTTCTCGCAAAACTCAGTTCACCGGCGTCCACTCCAGCGAGTAACTGTTCGCGTGCAGTTCCCTCTGTCCCCGTGTTCAGAGGCCCGAGTTCCGTCGAGGCTCCGCTCGCCCCGTTCGATTTCCGTTCGTCGTCCCGTTTTTAGATAACTCGTCGATTCCCAAAGTCGGGTAACCTTTTCCAAACCTTCTTGTTATTTTGTTCATAATCGTAAATCATGCTATTGGATTCGTTCGCTCGTTAAATCGATACTCGTTGATTGGTCGGTTTATGTATCAGTTCGTTTTGTACGTTCGAGAATATTGAATCTTATTGTGGATGAGTGGAACTCTTGTTTTCGAAAACTGAATCCTTGCTGTGATTATCCGTATAAGATTCGGAGTATCGTTGTGTTTTTCTGGGTCGTCTCGTTCGTGTATGTGTCGTTCGAGTCTAGTATGTTGTTCCGTTATTCGACTCTTTTAAACCCGATTTTAGTAAATATTTTTGAATTATGTGAACTGTGATTTTCGTGAATTTATTGATTTCTCGAACCCCGGTTACCGTTGGATATGAAATTCGGTCCTTTTTTTTAGCAACCCTGTTCTGCAATTTTCGAGCCTCTGTTCGTTTCCCTGTTCCAGTTTCTGTTCATGAATGGCAGATTTTGTGTTAAATGGTAACTTGGACCTGTTGCAGCCAACCCCGTAGGCTCTCTTTTTCTTTAACTTTTCTGCAGTTTTTTTTTTTCTGGCCCAAAATTTTGTTATCCTCAGCCCATTTGTTTTATTTCCCGCAGCCCAAACCAACCCCAGCAGCCCACGTGCAGCCCAGTTAATTTGGAGGCAAGGCGCGCGGGCCGTTTGGCCCGCCTCCAGCCCGACACCTCACCAGAAGCAGCCCGCGTCCAGGCCCGCGAGCCCGCTCCCGAGCTCGCGTGAAGGCCTGTGTGTCCAGCCCTGTTCAGGCCCTTCCTCGGCCCATTTTCTGTATGTGTCAGACCCAATCTGGAGCAGTCTTGTTGTTTTAATTGATGCCCAGCGCGGCCCAATTGATCTTTTTGGCCCTTTATGTGTATCAGAAGCTGTTTTTAATTCCGATTTTAATTTTAAAAGATATTTTCAAAATGAGAAAAATTTGAGAAAAATTATTTTAAGTCCCGATACTTTAATTTAGTCCTCCGAGCCCTACTTTTCAAAAATGTGAGTTCCAAATCCACGAAAAATTCCGATAAAATTCCTTAATCATTATTTTGATTAAGTGTGAGTGTTTAATGATTTTAAATATCAAGATAATATATTTATGAGATTATCTTGATTAAATGTAGGTGTTTGAGGAGTCGAACACTCGACCTACCGACCTGGTTGTGTGCTTTTTCTACCGATTTACCAGGTGGTTTTATTTGAAAATTTGCTATGCAATAAATTGTTGTTTTACATGGTATGATCAATGTATGCATGTGAACCATGTAGCCTTCGATGTGAGCTGTACCGGCCGTCGAACGGTTATCCCCGTAGCTATAGAACGTACTCGTTGGGTAATCTCCTTTGAGGATTTACTCCTACTGGTTTGGGCACCGATAGAATCTCGAGGGGCATTCGGTATTTTACCCTGCAGTAGTCTATGCGTAGGTGTGTACACGAGTCTTGAATTTATGACGATATTATGATGATCTTATGACGATATTATGACATGAGATTGGGATAATGAATTGATTCTTATACATGCTGCGATCATACTGATTTTATAATTTGAATATTGTTTATTGCATAGTGGTGAGCACTATGATTTCCATTTGTGCTCACTTCCACCTGAAATTAATGTTTCAGGTTAATCAAGGCAGGCACGACAGCGGAGGAAAGCTAGTGGTGGTCGGTCTATGAGACCGGTTTATTAATATTTATGCTTCCGCTATCTGAACTACTTTATGATTTATGAACTTTATGAACTTGGGATATTATTGAATTTATGATTTGAAATTTTATGAATTTATGGATATTATGATGATTGAAATAAGGTTGGGGAGATGCCCCTTTTGACAGTAATGATTTTATGATAACCCGGTTTGGGTAATTGATGAATATATGAGATTCCGTTCTGGGAGTTGGATGATTGATAATTTATGAGTTGAAATTATGTCATGGAAATGATTGGAAATAAATGAGTAACGCCACAATTGTTTAAAATGAATTTTGAAAAATTTAATCTGATTTTTTTGAAAGTCCGGAATTTCTTTAAAATCAAAGTGGGGCGTTACACCTAATATAACTCATCAGCACTTATCTCCTATGGATCTACAACAAAAACCAATGGCAAAACTTCTTTGTTGTAGGGAGTGTAGTCAGACATAAATCGCAATTGGAAGTAAAGAGAGAATGCAACTCACTAAAATGAAAATAATAAGTATACTATTTTGATTTGTCTGTTACTAGTAACACCACAAGAAATGAAAATTTCTATATTACTTTGTTACACAAATAATAAAGATCCATAACAAACCATATTAAAATCCAATGCCTGCTTTCATTGAATCATGAATGAAATGTCAAAAGTCCAAAAGACTAGCATTAAAAAAGTGCAAATATAAGCATACCTCCTTCAGTAGATTCACATATCTTTCAACATTCGGGGTAGCACCTTGAGTATATTTTCTAGTAGTATTTGAAGTAATAGATGATTCTGGAATATCATGAATGGCAGAGGACTTGGACCCCTTAAGGATCCATCCAAAACCGCATTCATTACCTCGTCGAGTACCAAATACTTCCCGCATAATAGCTCTCTCATCCACAATGTTATTAGGGGAAGATAGTCGTGCTGATTCTCTTGCTTGCAGAAGAAGAGACTACATAAAAGTAGTTTATGAAAATTAATTGGATATAAAAGTAAAGACAATATCTATATGCTCAACTTACATAATCAGATTCGGCGGCCTTATTAACCCACTTCCCATTTTCTTTATCGGTGTGCATCTCTTTCAATAGTGCTATAAAACTCGGATCCCTTCCCTCTTCATCATCTCATTCCTAAGAAAAAAATACCACTGCAATAAAAACCAACTCTTCTTGCAATTTCTATAAAACAAATAACAATTTAATTATATATAAAAAAACATTAAACTGAATAAGATGTAACCAATCCATGCTATGGGCTACTAATCTTTTTGATCCTTGAAAACACGAGTATTTATGCTTGCTTCAACTTCTAGAATTTTTTATAGATCATTCCTATTCACATGAAGAAAAATACAAATCAAAAGACAATTAATAATAATAAAACTACAAATGAAGAAGAAATTACTTAAGAAACATATGAGATAAGGAACTTACAATGAATTCAGACTTGCTAAACAAGTTGATACATTGTTACTATTCTTCACCAGTAAAGTTTCAATAAGGACGAGGAGTCGAGGAACAATTTTCAAGTTTTTTTCTTGTAATACCTATGTGTCGCAACCTTATACCCACGAAAGCGTTCTACTGCAGTCTGATCAAAAGATTTGAGAACATTCTTATATTACCTCGGCGTAACGGTGCAGTGTATATAAAAATACTTCTGGAATTTATTAAAAATGGTGAAAGTTTCAGGAGACTAAGGTGAAATAGAGCAAAATAGCAGCTTGATAATTTTGTATAATTACCTTTACTCGTTTGAAAACGTTTTTTTGTTTCTTTTCCGGGACAGATGCCCAATCCTTAAAGTAGGGGATTAATTTTATCACCAATTAGTGCATATAACTTTTGGATTGAGCCAACAGGTAGCCATGATTTTCCAACAATATCAAACTCTATAGGAAGTTTTTTCTTACCATTTGCAATCCATATTTTTTGTAAATTTTGCCCTGTTCAGATTGAGCGAGTCATTTTTTATCGACGCTTGGTAGGACCTGTAAAGAAAAACAATGATATACAATCAGGAATTACTAAAAGTGAATAAACATTACCATGAGAAAAATTGCAACTTACCAAACTGAGATCCACGGTCCCCTGCGACATCTTCACTGTCAGCGATATTATCCGCCATTTCCTAGGCTACTTTCCCTCAGTATATTTTATAATAAATTTTCGTGGAGATAATTTTCTTTCTAGAGAATTCCCTAGTAACCTAAAATTCTTGAATGATGTGTTAGTACCGCCTATAACTTTTTCATCCGAAAGTGGCGCCTCAATGAAAAAGTTGGCGGCTTTACATTTTTTTTTTTGTCAAAACCTTGAATTCTTTTCTAGCTTATATTATGTGCTTTAATACTAATAATGGATCTTAATAGTAACTTATATTACTAACTATTAATGAAACTCTTTTAGTTAATAATTGTACTATAATAATAAACAAAATAAAAGAAGTCATAATAATAATAATAATAATAATAATAATAACAACAACAACAACAACAACAACAACAACAACAACACAACAACAACCACCATTTTACTCATGAAACATAATATTGACAATTATGGCTTCAGTCGGGATCGCTATACTCTATCAACATATCATAATTCGGCTCATCAACTGGCTCATCAACCCCGACTTGATCTTCACGTTCAATATTTTCTTACTCATCCAAAGTATCGTCCTCCGTGTCATCATCATTGTACATGTCAGATGGTGCATCCCCACTAAAAGATGGAACTGAAGTTTCAATAATATGGTCAGACAACATGCTATCTTGATGTAGCTCCACATTTTCGAGATATCCGTGATCCACAAAAAGGGAGAAACATGAAGAATTATCAAAGTTCAATAAATCCACATCGGTTAGTAGCTTCGTTGACGGACCAGTCTCCACGGTATGATGTACTTCATGCACTACTCGCCAGTTTGGACAACGAGAAGGATCATCACTATGAAATACCTGCCTTGCTTGAGTGGCAAGTATGAGTTGGTCATCCTTGTAACCCTTAAAACTTATATCGATGTTTATGATATTTTTTTTGAAAAATTGCCGCCTATCAGATTTATACCATTTGCACCGAAATAAAGCAACTAATAATCGATCAATAAAATAAAGTTCTAAAATCTCTTGCAGAACTCCATAAAACATCTCACCACCCAGGCCCGATACTGATACACCACTATTTTGCGTTAGCCGAAGAATATCATGATCATGTGTCAACAAACGAACTCCAATAACAACGCACCCTGCGTATAATTGGACAAACTTGTCGCATCCATACGCTAACGTGCACACTTCTTCAAAAACTAAATGGGGATTATAGCAAACCTAAAGTTTATTAAAAAAAACAA